CTATGTAAAGAATTTTAGAAAAAAAAATAATAACGATATATATAGCTCAGAAAGCTATACTTGTGCCTTATAAACGCATAAGCCAATGTACGCGCGTGTGGGTATGTATACATGTCTATAGATTTACACAAATGTATGTTTGAATTCATGCGAATGTATGTATGCGTGCGTGTGTAATGTATACAAGCTTATACATAAATGTACACATACGCGTTACTAGATTGTATATAGACGACCTTTTTTATTTCACCACTACCATCTTCAACATTGAAATGATTATATAGTTAGCCAACCAAACATCTCAATGTTTATAATTGTATATATTTACATGTATGTATGTATGTATGTGTGTATGTATGCATGTATGTATGCATGTATGTATGCATATATGCCTGCTCTGATGTCTTTCTGCTTGGTATGTGACCGTTGGATAAATGGATAGATGGATTAATTGTAATAACAAATAAATACAAAAATCAATAAACTAAACTTATTAATTATTTATTTAATTTTAAATTAGTTATTTTGAGAGTAAAAAATCTTCAAACACACATCTTCAACAACCATTTAGGTAGAAATGAACTCAATCCCATAAGAACCATTTATACACACACACACACACCCACAGACATACACATGTATATATATATATATACATGTATATATATACACACATGTATATATATACACATATATATATATATATATATATATATATATATATATATATATATATATATATATATATACATAGTGGTAATAGTAGTGATGACCATGACGATAATGATGATAACAATAATGATAATATAAAAGCAACATTAATAAGGTTCACAGCAATAATTACAATGAAAATAAACACACGCACGCACACACACACACACAAATACAAATATACATACACAAACACATATATACGAAGAATTTGAAAAAGAGACGGAAAAAATGATGAATCATCTTCGTTGTCTTCCTCATCACTGTCACCACCACACAATCATTCATCACCATCCCCATTCACCATCAATATACTCACGAGTTACTTTTATTATTATTATTATCATCATCATCAACAAAACCCACGTAACTATTATTACTATTCTTAGCAGGCATGCTACTATTGTCTTTCCTAGCGCCTGGCTTATTATTTCTATTATTATTATTATTATTATTATTTCCAAATTTTTTGTAGTGTGTAGTAGCAGTAGTAGTAGTGGTAGCAGAAGTAGCTTCGCTACCTTCAGAAGCAGTTTCCCATTCCTCGTTATGAACCTCTGCGTGTATTTTGACTTTGTTGTCTGATTGGTTGGTTGGTTGGTTGATTGTTAGGTTGGTTGGTTTGTTTTTGTTTAATTGACTGATTGACTGAACTGTCAATCATCTAAAATGCTGAATAGAGAAAGATATTTGTTCATTCCTGGCTGTCATAATGTATTTCATAATGTATCTCATTCACTAAAAGATCAACTAAAAACTGTAAAATTATCAATCAATCAACCAGCCAGCCAGCCAACCAACCAGCTAACCAACCAGCCAGCCAGCCAACCAACCAGCTAACCAACCAATCAACCAACCAGCCAACTAACCAACCAACCAATAAAAACACACATCAATCAATAAACTTCATTTACTATTGGAGCTGAACTTCTCACTTCTTGCACCTCCACTAAAAAAATGACCACCACCAGTAACGCCACTGCTATTCGATGGCGCCATCTTACCACCACCGCCACCACCGGCAGCAGCGGTAGTAGCAGCAGCAGCGCCACTTTTTATACCGGGTCTGTAGTAGTGGTGGTTGTAGTGCCTAGGTTTGTGCAGCTGAGATGATGAAGACGAGGATAGCGACGACTCTTTAGCTGCCGACTCACTAGATCCTAAAAAAGTATTTTGTCATAATTAATAATTACATTAGAAATTATAAAAAAAATCATGATAATAACTTCAAGAGTTATGATGACAGACAAGTTTTCAACACTCCACAACAAGGCCACAAACAGCAGCAGCATCGACAAATGATAAATTGAAAATAATGAGAAAAAAAAAGAAAAAAATCAGTATTGACTTTTGTTACTGGAGATGTTTTCATCTTTACTAGATGCACCACCAACACTCGCACCATCACCGACGTCGTAATTCTTGCTACCCTGAGCAGTTTTACCACAGTTGACAGCATTGACCTCATCTACAGTAGAAGAGTTATTGTTAACGTTTCCACGACCGACACCACCGCCACCACAACTACCACCGGAAGCCGCATTAGCAGCAGCAGACTGCGATGAAGAAGTCAATTTTTCTACCACATTTTGCTGTTTCAAGTCTTCTGTCGAATGAGTTTTCTTCATTTCTGATCTTCTTCCTCCACCTCCTCCAGTTGCTCCTGACCTAGCCCCCCTACCGCTGCTGTTGACGGGGTTTGCCACACCTCCGCCTCGAGTGCTACCGCCCCTAACAAATTCTCGGCCGGCTGCATACCTGTATCTTAATGTTGTTGATTACAATCAATCAATCAATCAATCAATCAATCAATCAATCAATCAATCAATCAATCAATCAATCAATCAATCAATCAATCAATCAATCAATCAATCAATCAATCAATCAATCAATCGACAAAATTGATTACAATCAATCAATCGATCGATCGATGATCAATGAATCAATCAACAAATCAATCGAACAAATAAAAATTTCATTCTTAGCACCAATAAATGATGTCACAGTGGAGACACTTAACTCAATTCAAATCAATTTGAAAACGAAAACTAACTTTAATTCAGCATGAGTATTTTCATATCTGTCATTGCTATTGCTGTACCTCTCAGAGACGCCAGCCCCACCACCACCACCACCACCGCCTCCTCTACCACCAATTTTGTTGGATCTTGACTTTTCAACTCCACCCCTCCCAATGTTACTGGAAGCAGTAGCAGCAGCAGCAGCAGCAGTAGCACTATTAGAAGAAGCAGAAGTATTCTTCTCAAGGACGGCACTACTTTTGTTAGTATCTTTAGTGAAACTACTGCATTCGTCAAATGGTTTATTAGAACTGTTTTTCTCTGAAAAATTTTTAGCACTTCCGTCAGCAATGTTAGATGGTGTTGCTGTGCCGCTGATATGATTGCTGTCGTTGTCAAATTTCTTGCCAACAACGTTTCCACCAGATTTGGATGCAGTGTTATCGCTGAGATGTTGCTGACTAGCTGGTATTTCTGCACCACGAGCATCCTTCGTCATCTTATTCCTGCTACTCGCATTGCCATCAAATGCCTTTTTCTCATTGCCAGGCATCCTTAGAGGTTTGTTGGTCTGGTGTGGCTGCTGTAGCTGATATTGTTGCTTCGATCTGAAAGAACCACCTCTGTTCGCATCAACAGGATCTCGTTGCTGTTGTTGTTGATGTTGTTTCTCAACACTGCTTCTACTGCTACTACCACCACCATCATCATCATTTGCAAACTTCTTGCCACCAGCTTTTTCATCGTGAAGGTCTCCGGTGTAATTTCTACTGCCTCCTCTACCTGCAACACCGCCAAATGAATCGGCATCGCACTCATCTCGATCACCAGCATGACAGTATGAACTTCCTTTTGATTTCGGTGGGACGTAAAATCTACCAGATGCTTTGCTTCCAGTGTCATGGGAATATTTCCGATCGTCATCTTCTCTCTCCTCTTCATAGGAGCACTGATACAACGGCTTGCTTGGTCTATATTTTGTGTGGTAACTCCTGTTGTCCATACTACCAGCTGGTCCTTCATTGCCCACAGCACCACTATCAGATTTGGATGCTTCTCTTGATTTGTTGCCATCATCCATCTTATCATCATTCTCCTTGGGTAGAAACTTCTCTTTGTAGTTTTCAACCTTCTCTGGACAGTTGCTCTCGTTCCCTCTTCTGCTGTTAACATAAGCGGTGCTGTTGCTATTGTTTCCACTACTACCCCCACCACCTGGAAAATTGCTGGTGAAGTTGTAGGTGTCTTTTCTTTGTCCTTCGTCCGTGCGACCAGCCGACGGTTTGTTCCACTTGCGACTACCTCCAGGGTAACTTTTGGAATTGTAATAATCATACCTCTGGTCTCTATCGTCTTCGTAATTGGAGTAGTAGTAATCATCTGAGTAGTCGTAGTCGCAGTGCTCCTTCTTATATTGTTTCACAGTCTCTGGCTCTCTCCTCCTACTGACGTCAAAGTTAGCCGATGGTTTCTTCTTATTGTACGATGAATCGGTTCTTGAATCGCTAGTACTAGCGTCTTTTATGTTGTGGGCGCTGCTATCGACATTGATGTTACTTCTCATCTTGTTAGTCTCTTCTGAAATCTTACCGCATTCATCATCTAACTTTAGATTAAAGTTGTCTTGCCTGGCAGAAACTTCTTTCTGTGAAGAAATGTCGCTCTTTCCAACAACAACATTACCACTACTACAATTACTGCCAGTTGCGATGTTGTTTGTGGTAGGGTTATTCGCAGAAGCCGATGTAGTAGCTGTAGTAGTAGTAATTTTAGTTGTAGTAGAAGCAGATATGTTAGTTGTAGCAGGTCTCTGCTTCTTAAGACTGGTAAAATGGCTTTCATCGTGTTTGTTCTCATGTGCCTGGTCCAACGATATAGGAGGCGGATGACTTGATCGTGAATTTTGTTGCTGTTGCAATTGTTGTTGCCTTGAGTGTTGCTGGGATTGCTGTTGTCTAGCATGCTGTTGCTGTTGACGAGTTGTTTGATACGTCGGCTGGTGTCTGTCCGTGTTGCTGTTGTCTGTTCTTGCTGAATGTTGCTGTTGAGTCTGCTGTTTCTCCTCTGAATCTAAATAAAAAATTGAAAAAATTGATTTAGAAAAAAATACATATTCATCATACACATTAAAATAGTTATGACTGATTACAAATGGTACAAGCAGTTATATTGGTACTATGAAAACGCTATGGCGGGCTTATCATGAACGATATTATCAAAACCATAGAGCCACCTACCTCTCTTATCTCTGTTGCCATAGCAACCTCTGCCATCATCATTTTTATCTCCATCATTGTCATCCTCTTGGAGGTGGTGGTGGGGCGCAACATTTTTAGCGTCAACGTACTTCTTATAGATATCATCCTCGTAAAACTTCCTCCTAGCATACTCTTCCGCACCATCCCGATTGTGGCCATAATTCCTTGCATCTCCTCCACGAATGTTACTTCTCTTTGCATGATCCACCCTACCATGCTGCGGCTGCTGTGATGAGGTTCCTGGTCCTGCTGCTGCTACATTCTTATAATCATACAGCTGCCTACCGTTTTTCACAATTCTACGATCGCAGTCGTCGCCCTCCTCATCATTATACTCATCATGGGAATGACCTTTGACCTCTCTGGCCACATCTTTACGACGTCTATGGTAGTAGTACTCGTCGGCATGTTCCTCGCCGCCCACGTAGTAATCATTGTCATCGTCGAGATTATCATCGTACCTGATGCAGTCGCTACTTCTTTCATCATAGGTTTGTTGCCTGTGCTGCTGCTGGCTCCTGAAACCCTTTTCATGATTCCTACTCATGATTCTCTCAGTGGCAGACTGCAAGTTAGAAGTAACCACACTGCTACTGGTCGCATCTCTCTCTCTCACGTCCCTGGCTGCTGGTTCATTCTTTGAGGCGTCTGACCTCTCTGACTCACTCTTGTTTCTGTGAATAATGATCTTCCTCTCTTCTGGCTGCTGTTGAAAAGTTGGACGACTGCCGCCACTCATTTGTCTACTCAGTTGTGGTTGCTGCTGCTGCTGATGATGATAATCATCTCTTGGAGAGCATCCTTCATTGCCATCTTCACTCACATCATTGAAATTATTTCTCCTCGAGTGAGCACCACCAGCGTGGTTTCGACGACGTAGATCCATGACGTCACCACCATCATCATCGTCGTCCTCATCGCCATCCTTGATATTACCATTATCTCGACCCGTATTATTATCATCAGCATCGTCAACGATGACGTCATCATGCACCGTTCTCCTGTTCTTGCTTAAACCGGGTGATGAAGCTATTTCACTATCTCTCATCATCGTGGCTGGCGTCTTTACCGCAGCTGCTCCTCTGCCAGGGGCACCTCGGCCGCCCCCATGGTACCCTCCTTGCATGTAGGCTGGCTGAGGGGGGTATGGGGGGTAATAGTAACGAGTTGGTGGTGGGGCTTGCCCTAGCAGGGGCTTCTTGTGTATCACTACTGGATACATGCTCTCCAGGCCTGTGTGTTAGAGCAGTGAGGATGAATGAGTTTATTAGGATGATGTAGATGATGATGATGAGAATGGCGAAGAATATGAAGATGAAGGTAAAAATTCCAAGGGTGAAAATAATTACACAATAACTGTGATACACAGTTCTACTAACTTTATGTATTTTATTTGGCCATAACCATCAGTAACTATAATATTAAAACTATAGCAACTCAAATGTAAAGAAAAAAAAAAAATCTTGAAAGAAAGTGAATCGAGAATAAAAAAAAACAAACAAACGAAATGTACATTTGTTGCATGCCGGATAAATATGATTGATATGCAGCTTCTTGTAACATGGCATACGTATGCTATGCGTATGATAAACAAACAGATAAATGTTTTGAAAAATCTATACAAAGCATGCCTGTGATTGAATGTGGAAACCTTAACCAAGCATAGATTGTAAAACAACAACAACGTCAATTGCATTAAATTGCATACTACATACATATCATACACACATTCATTCATCACAAAATATTTATTTATCTAACTACAATTAACATAATATTTTCGGCAAAAATACCTCTGTTATGGCTATTTCTATAATTAATATCATTAGCCATAGTTGTAGTATTAGTATCATTATTATTATTACTATTGTTACTGTTGTTGTTCTTATTACTTCTAATCATTGTCATCCTATCAAACCCTTTGACACTACTCTCATTCACACAGTAGCCATTATTATGATTATTATTATTATTACTATTATTAATGTGAGTAGTAGTAGTAGTACTGTTACTATTATTACTATTATTATTATTATTATTATTCTTTTGGAAAGATGAAGTAGAGAATAGCGAAAATGAAGAAGGAAAAACAGATGATAAGGAGGATGGTAAAGATGATGAGGAGAAAGATGATGGTGGAGGGAGGGGCAATGATGATGATGATGATATTAGCAATGGCGCTTTTTTCATATCTAAGAATGGGCAGAAGGGAATTTTACAAATTAAATTGGTTTAAAATTGGGGTGGAAAAAATTCACCCCAAAAAAACCACAAAAAGGAATTGTATAAATTAGGAATTATTAGTTATTAGAATGGACATAGGGATAATGAAAACAAGGTAATAAGCAAACGAACATCAACAAAAACCAAGGAAACAAACATCAAACAAACACACAATACAAACAAACACACAATATAAACGAACATACAGTACAAACAAACACCCAATACAAACAATCCCATGAATGTGTTAGCCAGCCAAAAAAAATATGTTAAGTCAAGTATAATTTAAGCATTTCCAAAGCTTTGTAGTTGATAATTCAGTAAAAAAAATTATCAGAAAAATAAAAAATAAACTAAAAAATGGAAACAAAACCGACTTCCAGAATGTTCCAAATGACTTTTACTGGTGGGAGCCGTTTTGTTGCAACCTTCATTTGCTGCACTGACAACAGCAGCACCACCACCACTACCATGTTGTTCTTGTGGTAGCTGTGGCTGAAGAGGTGGTGGCATAAGGGGAGGTCTAGGTTGTTGCTGTGAGGGCATATTGGACCATCTGTGGTCGTACGAAGGCCCCCACAAGCCACCAAATGAAGAATTTGAGGTCAATGGAGATGAAGGCTGTGGCATTCTCACAGGTGGTGTGTCTAAGAAGTTTGAAGGTGTTGTTGGTGTTGTTGTGGTTTGTTGTGGTATAAGACAAGGATTTGAATCTGGTCTTCTTTGCTGCTGCTGCTGTTGTTGTTGTTGGGGGGGCATGTACTTTTGCCCTTGAGTGTATTGTTGCTGATGTTGAGGCATCATACGTGGCTGATGTAGTTGCTGCAATTGATGATGGGGATAGTCTTTATCCAGTTGCGAGATGGCGTGTTGTGAAATTGATTTGTTGATGGTTCGCATGTTGCTGTCATTGTTGTTTGCGTTGTCTGCCATGTGCAGTGAAGAATTTATTGATGATGATTTAAGTTGTTGCAGTTGCTGCTGCTGATACTGTTGTTGAGTGGATGTCAAATCAGTATTTGAGACTGAAGATTTGTTGTTGCTATTATTGTTGAAGAGTAACTGAAAGAAAAGTTAACGCATAAAATCATATATAACCATCACATATTTTAAAACTGAGATGAAACAAACAAACCAATCAGCCAATTATTCAAGACTTCTTGACAAAAAAATGTAACAAATCAACCTCCCCCATCAGCCCACCTTATTATTAGGTTCTTTTTCGACACATGCTCCATCATAGTTGCCTCTAGCTTCCACACTATGAACATCAACATCATCTAATCTTCTCAGCTCCTGCCTGTAATTCCCGCTTTTCCATCTATCAGGATCGACATTATCGTCATCTTTAGTACGACGTAGGCTAACTTCCATGTCGTCGTCGTCTTCGTAATCATAATCGCCCCGACCTCCGTACAGATTCGAAGTTTTGTTAGCGATGTTGTACCTGCCGTCGTTACTGACGTTATTGTTGCTACTGCTACTGGTTCGATATGGCTTGGGATTGTTGTCGTCGATGGTGTTGTAGTTAGCGGGTGCTGCTGTGTTGGAGCTACTAGATAGGCCTGGTGGTGGCTGATTGATTGGTTGGTTGGTTGGATAAAGAAATGATCAGTGTTAAGAATGTGTGTTGAATGATGAATAAAACAGAAAACTGGAAGAGTCATGAAAAAAAATTATCGAAATTTTTATATTCAATTGTTTTCTAAATGACCATTTAAAAACTTTAAAACAGAGTGAAATTTCAAAAGCAATGAAGAACAAAACACATAAACCAACAGGCGGTCTTCTGCTATAATGTTGTGGCTGTTGCAGCAGCTGCTGTAGCTGGTGGTGCTGCGAAGCAAATTGCGACTGGGGTTGATCGCGTGGATGGTGCGGCATGCGTGGATGCTGTTGAGTGGGCAGACCGTGCTGATCGGAGGACCACTGTTTCTGTTGTAGTTGGATTGTTGTGCAACATCAATGACATTAATAAAAAAAAACAAATCAGAAAAAACATTAACGAGCCATCCATAACAACACTTTTTAACCAAATACCAGCCTCTAAAGCAGAAATGAAAGAGACAAACGACAACAGACAACATCATTAGCAACACAAACTTATTTCATCTTAGTGCATGTGAATTTATCTGCATACATAGTAAGAGTAACAAAGAAGAAATATAACTTATGAGAAAATATATATATATATATATATATATATATATATATATATATATATATATATATATATAGAAAAACACACTCACACATGCACAAATACAGATTAACACACACGCACACACAACAGCATCAATATCCATCCAACCTCATAGTATTCATTATTGTGTGGTTGCCTGTTACCAGCACCACCACCATGGTAATAACCACCAGTGGTAGTGGCAGCTTCAGGCATGATGTTGCTCTGCCTCAATGGTGGAGCAGGCATTCTATTAACTTCACCACCACCACCACTACTACCACTGCCGCTACCACCACCGACGGCTGTGTTACTACTACTGCTACAAATCCCATCTTTTCTCCCTGCATACTGCTAGCAATGGAATAGAAATGCATGTGAATGTAGAGATATTAATGCAAAGATAAGAAGTAAATATTAATCTGAAAACACGGAGGACCATAAAAATTGATTAGACAATTGCTTATACGGACGGAAATGAAATAGAGAAATGAAAAAAAACATCTCAGCCTCACTATACTAACACTAGGCTCACAACTTTTTGAATGTTCCAGCAGCAATGGCGACTGGCCGGGGACAGTAGATGCAGTAGAAACACCCAACTTCAACGGTTCCTCACTCTTCCAATCTCTCTCCAGATGACCAGAGCTACCTCCTCCCATCTTAGATGATGTCAATGTTTTGCTAGTAGCAGTAGTGCCAAACTTGGGATGCTGCTGCTGCTGCTGTAGATTGTCATTTGACTTTTGGGAAGTCTTTCCATTATCCTCATCATCGCTGAAGACCAGTTTCTCAGAGTAGTCGACATTGACATTTCCTCGAGCCCAGACTTTATCTTCTGATATCTTCAGTCTGTTATTTTTTTTTCAAATACAAAACTGTTCAAAACATCTGACAGATAGTTAAACAGATTTTATCAACTCTAGCAAATAACCAGTGAAGAACTAGCTCAACCAATGATTACATCAACCAAATAAGCAGGCAACTACCAATCAAAAATCACTAATAAAACCGGCCCCTGATACAAAAACAATGCAGACAAAAACAACAACCTATCAAAGAGCTCTAGATCTTTCTCCTTCACAACAGACGTCTTGAGTGACGGTATCCTTTTTGATGGTTCCTCCATCCTATCACTCATTTGATGATGATGGGGGTGTGGATATGGCCCTGGCGGGTAACTGATAGAGGGGGGGGGGGTATAAAATAAATGAATAACCAAGAGATTGGCACTGGTAGATAAATTAAATTGCCTATAAAATATCAAACAAGGGTGTGTTAGTTTAGATGAATGTATGTGTTCATGTAGAAAAGAGACTCAAATTCCTACTTGAAATCATGATGAGGCGCCATAAAAGGAGGAGGGGGAGGTCTGAATGCACCAGGGGGGCCCCTGCCTCTCATTGGAGGAGGTGGGGGTATGAAATTCGGATAGCCGGAGGACGTTGGAGATGGGTGGAAACCCGGTCTGTATGGCTGAAAAAATTGAATATTTAAACTAAATCAATAAAAAATTATCAATAAAAAGTTGTAAATCATTAAAATAGCATATTTTCTGTTTCGTTTTTAAGAGCCAACCGTTGGAGTTGAATAAGAGATACTAACATAAGGAACAGGAGGCATGACATGTCTCGAAGGATGATGTGGTGGGTAGGGGTGGGGTCCAGGAGGGTGCATCATCACTCCTCCATCAGTCCCTCTGCAGGGCCCCATAAATGGAGGAGGTGGTGGATAGTTGTGCTGCATTCTGCCCACACCCAAAGGTTGTTGGGGCATTGCAAGGACTGGAGGGTGACCAGTGTAGTCTGCTGATTGTTCGTGTTGCTTCTTGTTGGGGTCGACAGCTTGTGGGCTTGGAGATCGAGACTGGGGAGTTTGAGAAGGGCCCACCACCTTTCCACCTCCATCTCTCCAGCTTGCCAGGTCTGTCGTCGGAAGAAATTGAATGTTTTTTAAATAACTCATTGCAGTGAAATAACAGTCTTTCAATGCAAAAAGTTCTACCAGATAGAAATTGTGAGAAAGAAAATTTTTTACAAAATCTACAGACCTTTCGAAGTCAAGACTAACTAATTTATTAATATAAATAAAACAAAAATCAACAGCAATGGCAGAAAAATATCTAACTTTGAGGTTTTAGACTTGGCCCTAGCCCACTTGACTTTTCTCTGGGCTCTGCCCCTGTTCTCTTGACCTCTGACTGACCGGCCATTGCCAGCGATGTTGCAGTAGTTGCAGCTTTTCCTTCTGCAGTCAACTCTGGAAAGTCCTCTTGCAGAGAAAATGATTTGTGATCTAAGTAGTGTCCTGATTTAGGGATAATATGGTGAGAATGATGATTCTTCGCTAATATATTTAATCTATTCATTCATCCGATTTCATCCATTCAGTCAACTCACTTCTTCCTCCAGATGTAATGTCGCTCCAGAGTACCCCTGCCTCCCCCGCAGTCATGTGACCTGGATGTGATGACATCATCATTCCAGAGGTACCAATCTCTGACGTCTGCAGAGATTATGTAATTATTTTATTACATGTATTTATATTTGTAGAATGACTGAGAAAGAATGGATAATTTCTTGTCTGATGATCAGAAAAAGGGTAAAATGAGAAGAGAACCTGACGATGCAGTGATGCATTTCCTACCAGCTGCTGCTGCGAGGACTTCTGGGCCGACGTCATCGTCGTCGTCATCATCATCATCGATGCTTGTCCTGCAACTGATGATGCTGATGCTGGCGATGTTACTGATGAACCTGGGAATGAGTTGTTGGTCATCATCATTGACATCATTGATGGTGGTGTCATCTGTTTCTCTTCTTTCCATCCTATTGAATTAATTTTAACATCGTGAATGATGATGATGGTTGGTGCTTAAAATGGAAAACAAGAACAAGCCACACACAAATGCATTATCATAATCACGTAGTCACATTTGCCTGAAGCTTTTTTAAATTGAAAAAAAAAACTAAACACTAAATAAGGATTACTAAGATCAAAAAATCAAAATGCTAACTGTAGCAAAAAACAATAGAAACCTGATAAAGTAGACAAACTATTGTTGATGTTATTGGTACTTTGGATATTACCGGACGCAGTTGATGTCACAATGTTACTTCCTTCTTTACTTTGCTGCTGCTGTTGTTGTTGTGATGTGTTTGTTGAGCTGGTCAGGCTTTTGATGCTAGGGAGATTAGCTGGAGGTGGCATACGACGAACACTCTGAACTTTGCCCAACACTTGTAACCCATGCTGTCTTGTTGCTGTTTGATTGAAAATTTTTTTCCGGAGAACTAGAAAATATAAAATTGTACTATCAACAATAAATAACTATTAAAGTGAAAACATAAACAATTTTGATAAGATGGAATAAAAGTAAACTCAACAAACTTGTATTTGCTTTAGGAGGTGATGCATTTGAACCCTTGTAAATAGTGTTTATATCAATGCCTTTAAACTTGGTCGACTGCTTTTCATTCTTTGACGTTGTTGATGAGTTTGTCGTGTTCGTTGTTGATGTTGATGATGAGAGTACTGATGACATGATGTTAAAGGGAACATTGAATTTTTATTCTTTTCAATACCCTATGAACGGTCCGTGTGCTCTGCAGTGAAAAAGAACACATATATTATGGAAAAAATTACATTTTAATTTTTATAAAATAATTCTTTTATTACCAGATTTTACATTATAATGCAAAGAATTGCATTTGATTTTTTTCAATACAATTTAGTTTTTTAGAATGTAACTAACAGAAAAATTAAAATTTGTTAAAATTAAATGTAATGTAAAGTTAAAATGCTACAACAAAAATAGATCACAAGATATGAATTATTAATGTGACAGACATTTGTAAAAAAAATGAGTCAAGAAACACTGAAGGAGCTCTCTCACCAATCATAAAACTACATATTCATACCTATGCTAATTGAATAAAAATTTACCTAAAACAATAATGGTTTATAAACTATTAGCAGCGCCATGTTTTATTAGGGAGAGTAATGACCATCAATGAACAAAGGAAAAACGTACTAACAAAACAACGGGTCCGTCGCAAGTGGGTCTGGTTGAAATCGTGAAAATCCGACAAAAAATTAAATAACTTAAATCGTTTAATAAGTTAATCTTCAACTAATTTACGTCCGCCGCTCTCTCAAAATACGAAATAATCCGAACCGTCAATGGAGTCCGATGAATCCTTCAATATAAGCAACTTATTTTAAATATTTTAAAATGGCGTCAGTGATGCTACAAACAGCCACACTCAATTCAATCAAGCAATTAATCAACCAACCAAGCAATTAAATCAATCAATCAATCAAGGAAGTAAGCAATTAAATCAATTTGTAAAATTGATTTAATTGTGGAAATTATTGAAGAAATAATTTAGATTGAGACTAAATAAACATATTATTTTTAGGTATTATATATTTGAATTCCAACACAAGATGAAACAATACCAAATTTTATAAAAGTGAGTAGAGTAGAATAAAAATACGAAACAGTATTAATTTTTATAAAAGTACATGTTTTCCATATTTCAATTCCAACACATAATACTGACGGAGGTATATGATTACAGATTTGAAATATGTAAACTATACATATTTAAAATATTAATAGTCAATATAAGATATGATTATTAGATAGATGACAGACATGATGTTAACATTCATATAATAAATTAATAAGTTAAGATCATTTCAATTGGAGATTTGAAAACTTTATTGAAAAATGTCACCAAATGACTGTACACAAACCTATAAAATTTGAAATACACAAATTTACATAAAAACTGATAGTAAAAATTATAGACATTAAACTATCGCTAATTACGTTTCAACTGACAAGCTGATTGATGAAATTTTAAAACGATGTTCGTCGTTATTGCTGCCTTTTGATCATTGTTGGTCTTGTTGCTCCACAAATGTTGCCAACGTGTTGTCTTCTACGGCTATTACTATACATTCCACACCATCGAGACCCTTGTTTGAAAAAAATTACACGATTTTTATATATATATGGGATCATTAAACAACATATACTGATAGTAATTAACTTTTAATTTGATTTTATAGTTGTCTTATTCTAGTCTGTAGATCATATTTTATATTAATTATTTTATTTCAATCATTTCAGCTTCCTACCTTTTTAGTCTTGATGAGTTTATGATCTTTGAATTCAACGAGCTGGGTCCTCAGAGTGGGTTCTGAATTGACCAGGAAGGCCTCTCTGCACTTCAAGTAGAGATCAGGGAACGCAATGCCTGGTGAGATGGAGAAAGAAAGAATCAATGTATCTAGTAATCAACTGATTCACTACAAGTCAACCAACCTTGATATCCGTGTTCACTTTTAGCCTCGAGTTGGTACTTGGAAATTAGAATAAATATTCCTCTGGCATTTGGTGTGAGGCTTTTCATAACGTGCGTCAGTGAACTGAGCACCAACACTCCGGATTGTTGTACTAGGATGGAGTTTTCGTAAGACGTCTCCATTGAGTATGTCTCGAATGTTGTACAGTCGAACCAGACCCAGTTCAGTTGGCTCATCTTGTTGTGGTCCCACACTGTATAAATATGAAAAAATTATTATAAAATGATACATTATACAAGCATATGGATATGAATTATATATATTCATGTTAAGTCTGCATCTTTCTGAGTCTAGCTGCTGATTTCTCTACGGCATCTATCCTAATCTTGAGTAATCTCTTCCAGTGCCACTCAGCCTGGTCTCCATTTTTGACTTGTTTGACATCCATCTATCATTTTTTCAATAACAAATATTACGTACAAAATATACAAATGTGTATATATTCATGGCTTGCTTGTAACCAAATCCTAACCAATCCTTCTCAGTGTTGCTCAAACCCATACATTTTTTTGGGGATCGTTAATATTTATATAAATTACATACTGTATATATATATATATATATATATATATATATATATATATATATATACATACTTGGTACACAAATACATACACATCATACAAATACAGAAAATGCAACTTACATAGTGGCGCATTTATATGGTCAATAGTAGCAATGATGTGTATGCCTTTAATGGTGCACAGCAGACTAAATGTGTTCTGTATTTTCTCATTTCTTAGGCATGTACCATCAATATTGTTCAGCAGTATAAATACATCAGGATTGCCTGATTGTGTGATTGATTGATTGTGTGATTGATTGATCGATTGATTGATTATAAATTAACAGATTGACGACATGACTGATTGATAATATTTCGCGGTTTATTTAGAATAAGTTTGATGAACCGAGTTATGAATGATGTTTATTAGTTACAAACAACTGACTGAAATTTAAACATTTAAAATAAACTAACAAATCAATGCACTAGCAAACCAACCAACCAACCAGTTAGCTAACCTCTTTCCAGAAAAATTTTCTTGACCCTATCAACCTGGTCAGAGGCTGAGGCAGGCAACGTCACGTCACCACAATCCAGAGACTCACATAGAGCCAGCATTATCTGAAAAGTCACACACACATACACACACACACATACACAAACACACGCACACATACACACACACAAAAATTCGTATTTAGATGTATATAAACGAGCAAACAAAATATTTCACAAAATAAATTATTTAATATAGCATGACAATCTTGAAACCAAAAAAAATTTAAAAATCAGTAAACTGACAGATTTTAATGTGAGGCTGGGAAAGAATCCATTAACAACGATGCATGTATAATCACTGAGAAGCTGCTGTCTCATCATTTCAAGCAGCTTTGCTTTCGAACCAAGGCCATGAAGAAGGATGTTGAAGTTCTGGCTGAATGAGTGAGTGAATGAGGGAGTGAATGAATGAGTGAATGAGGGAGTGAATGAATGAGTGAGTGAATGAGTGAGTGATTGAATAATGAAAATAATATTCCAAGCATCAAAGGCAATACTTACGTCATAAGAACCATCCAACGTTCAAATAGGCAGGACCATTTCTCATATAATCTCTTCCTCTCAACTCGATACAGGAATTCAAACTCGCCTAATATCCTCACTACCTCTGATGGTTCCATCTTTGGCACCCCCAATCTCGAGAGAGTTCTATCAGATGTCGACGACAAGGATGTTGAAGATGATTTTCTCGAAGTCTGGTGGTGCTGCTCAAAATAATTCTCTGCTGATTCTTTGGTCACCTGATTGTTAATGGGTTGTTGTTGCTAGTTATGCCAGTGGAGTTCCGCGTTAGTTAGCTTCCAGTTTAATTTTTCGATTCTTCTAATGGTAGATTGTAAATCATTGTCAAGTTTCTTGAGTTCATTCAAAACCAGAATTTTTATTTAATCTAAGCATGATAGAACAGAAAAGCTTAAAGGCTTGAAATAAACAAAAATTTTAATTTTGAACTCAAGAAACTTAACAATGATTGATTTACGATCTACCATTAGAAAAATTAAACATTTCTGACAGTCATAATCCAGTATACATACATACATACATACATACCTGTCTGTGCGAAGCGTTTAACATATATTAAAGCTGAATCAGGATATGATTATTACTTCCCTATAGTTCTAATCAATTATGGGTTCATATATACATACATACATACATACATACATATATAAATTTTTACAATATTCTGTAAATTCTATTTGCAGCATGGATTCGGAAAATAAGTTTATTTTGAATTTTAATAAACTAAATGTTCTCCTAAAAACTTTAGTGAAAAAAATCGAAAAAACGAACAACAAACATATTAACGCCAAACATTCGGTAGAATTTATAGAATATTGTAAAAATTATGGTCTTTTACCGACACACACACACACACACACACACACACACACACACACACACACACACACACACACACACACACACATATATATATATATATATATATATAAAAACCAGAATATTGTCATTGTCTTTAGCTGTGTTGTCAGCCTTCTTCAACTTTCCCTTGGTTCTTCGTGCTCCAACCAGAGAAGGAGAAAGTGACTTTTTACTTAATGATGTTTTAGATGAAGATGATGGTGTCAGTGACGATTTTGATGACGGAGTCATTGTTATGTCTGTGTTGAGTGCTGTGTTTCTATTCTTGGTCGGGGTTTTTGTTTTGTCTTGATCTCTGCTACCCTCATTGTTGTTACTATCTCCCTCTTCGTCATTCGTGACGTCATCCTCTTCATCTTCATCGTCATCGTCATCTAGATCTGTGTCTAACTCGTCCGATGAAGAGGACCCTAAACGAAATAGTGATAAAAATTGTGATGATAATGTTAAAATTGAATGTCATTATTGATAAAATTATGAAAAAATCTTTAATTTAAATTTTGCCCTACCAACAAAAGCAGCAACAAATACCTTCAGCCTGCAGTCTCTTCCATATTCTCTGTGGTGTCTTCCTAAGTTTTGTTGATCTTGTCGGTGTAGTAGCTTTTGTAGTTGGTGTTGTTGTTTTCGTTGGTGATGACATTAATGCAGTTGTTTTTGCTGTCGTGGCTTGGAATGTTGGCCGATCACAAGTAGCTGAACTAAGTCTCAGGGGTCTTTTAGTCTTTGATGTTGAAGTTGTTGTTGCTGTAGTTGCTGTAGTTGTTGTTGCTGAAGTTGTTGTAGCTGGAGTTTTCATTAATGAAGAGTTACCTAGATCATCATCATCTGTAATTGAATCATAATTAATTCTCATTATTTTCATAAAAATAAATGAAAACATCATCCTATCATCATCATTCTTGTAACAGAATCAATCACATTATTAATATCATTAGTGTTATTGGCATTGGTCACAGTTGTTAGCATCCATTTGCTGAGTCTAGCCCTGGCACCCATCCATGTTTACCATCATTATCACCTTCATCATCATCATCTTCATCACCTTCATCTTCATCACCATCATCATCACCATCGCCATCACCATCACCATCATCATCACCATCATCACCATACTGACCGAAAAAATGTACTACACTTCTCCTTGAAGATGGTGTCTTCTTCAGAATGGAGCGAGGAGTTCCAAGGTTCGTCTTGCTCTCGTTGCTGTTCTCATTTTTTGGAGTCGATGGCAAGTGAGGATTAAAATCCACTTTTGAAAATCTTCTCAATGGCGTTCTTGGGACTGTTGAGCCAGCTGCTGCTGTCATATTTGGGAAATTTGTTTCCGTTGTTGCTTGGCGTAGTGCCGGCAGTTGATCTACTGGTAAGATGGTGTTGTTGTCGTTGTTGTTGTTGTTGTCTTGATGGAGATGCTGGTGATCTCTGCTCACAATTTCACTGGCTGGTTGTAATTAGATTCGATGAAAACCAAGGTTTGAAATGTAAAATCTGATTCAAATAAACTTCAACCAATCAATATGACATCTCACCGACTATCCAAACAAAAAATTCACAAATTCAAATTTTGAAAATATGTACATTGGCAATAAAACTGAACGTCAAAATTATCGAATAAATAAATCAGGAAACCAAATCAATTGAATAAAAAAAATTAACCTCTTCTTTTCAACTTCACCATCTTGTTGGGAACTTTGAAGCCGAACATGTCAACGCCAAGAAGATCACTGCAACCACCACTGCTACTACTATTAACTAGGTTATAACATTATTTATTCATTAATTTATTACTTAACTATATATTTATTTAATTATTAAATTAATTAATTTATTTATTAATTACAGTTTTAACATTATTTTATAATATATGTTGTTATAAAAAGTTAATTCATTAGGCCTGCCAAATCACTTCAGACTAAGAAAAATTAATTTTATTATTATTTACGAAATATTTAATAATATTTCATAATAATTTGAAAAAAGAATAATTTAGAATAATAATATAAATTAATAAAAAATTTAAATATGAAATAAAAATACCGAAAATTATAAATAAATGCAAATAGATGACAATCAAAATGCCATTATTATTGTTACTGGTATAATTGTAATAACAGTACCTGATAAAATAATTCTGGAAAAATTCTGAATTCTAAAAAAACCTTGAAAAATTCTTGAAAAATATCAACCAAACCATTAAGATGTTTAGACGGGGTGGCAACGTCGTCAGCATCCACCAGCATATCGTCTGCTTTTAAATTCTCACCATCTTCACACTCATTTCCTCCAATCTTGGAATGTGATTTTGTTGGGACATGACTGATTCTTTTTTCTGGAAAATGTTTAAAATGTGCTTGGGAAAAGCTAGCAAATGTAAATACTTGGAAAAAGTTAGCGAATGTTCAGTATAAACTTTAATTTAAAATTTAAATTAAAGTTTATTTATTTAAACTTTAAATAATGTTTAATATCAATATTTAATTTTTGAATGAATGTTGAAAAAAATTTACAGATTTATTTAGAATTAGGTAATTTCCTTTATTTCTATTGGAATTGAATTACTGTAAATGTAATTCATTTACATTTATAGTAATATTATGTAATAATTACAATGTAAAAATAAAAATGACTGTCCTCTTAACTCTTATTTTATATTTGCCTTAAAAAATTATGATTTTTACAAAATTCAACATGATATTCATATGCAGATTTGATATGAATGAAAATAAATGATACAATGAACAAATAATTAATTTTAATAAGATTAATTTATTTTAATTTAAATTAATTATTAACATTATTATTAATAAAATAAAAATATAACATCAACTTTTTTTCTGTTTAATGGGCAGTATGTGCTCCATGACATCGTCAGCCCCAACAAACCTTACAAAAACTTCTTTTTTGTTACTCTTGGGAGCCATGATTTACGCAAAAAAGATAAATATATTTAAAAATCATACAAAAATAAAGTATTAATGTAAAGTTTCTCCAAAAAATATTTTCTTATAAAAGTTAACATTTAAAGTGGCGCTCATAAACAAAGTTAATTATAAAGCGCTGGTTACACTTGAATAAAAATTCACGTCTCTAACGTTTCATGTATCAGTCAGACCTTTGCAATCAAAAATCTTCTCATGTTCTTATACATTTTTCATATTTTAGCAATAAATTTGGCTGATAATTTGGTTTTGTAATGATAAAATGAATAAGCAAGGCAAACTATCGGGGATTTTGCAGCTTTTTCCATCATTTCAGCTATTCCAATAGATAGTTTTCATGTGTGTACACTATGTAAGAATTTGTCGTAATAAACATTTAGAGCTGATTTAACAAGTCTTTTTAAATTTGATAATCTTGGTAAGTATTTTTTTTTGTCACTTATTGTTATAAAAGAAATAAAAAAATGACCAATCTTTAAAAGAAGGCTTTCTTTTTAGTTTAGTGCTACTATAACAGCAACATTATTACTACAGATACAACTGTTTCTACTACACATAACCTCTTCCAACATTCACAACTGTTTATTGTTACAGTTATACACTCATCTACCGATACTCTATTCTAATTATATGGATACTCCCATCGCTACTGCTTTACGATATCACATAGTACAGCTATTTGCACTGTTACAAAGACAAATTTTACTATACCTTATCACAAAATTAGCTAATTGTACCACTACTACAAATGCGTCTACAACTTCTTCACGACTACTATTACAACAACTACTACTACTCTGGAGGCCAGTACTTTGACTGCAAGAATCGCAATTACCACTGCCACCACTTAAACGCTGGTCATAAACATGGTTTGTTAGAGAGAGATAGAAAGAGTGCTACACATTCTTCTCGTACTCATGGGAGCAATTTCTACTGAAACTCAGCTGAACAATCTAACACCTCAGTAATTGTCGCATTCTTTCCGAGATAGTAGTAGTAGTAGTGGTGGTGGTGGTGGTGGTGGTGGTGGTGGTGGTGGTGGTG